CTATCCGATAATTTTCACACTCTGTCAGACCACCTTTCTTTGGAATGGGAACAAATATAGATCTCTTCCAGTCAGTAGGCCAGTTGGTTGTCCTCCAAATTTCTTGGCACAACTTGGTGAGCACACCCAGGGCAGTATCTGTTTGTTGAAATATGTCAATCGGTATGCCATCAATTCCTGGGGCCTTGTTTGTTGCCAATTCTTTCAAAGCAGCCTGAACTTCTTCCTTCATCACCACAGGCTCTTACTCATACTCCCCTTATTTTCCAAGAGGAAGATTACGTTTCTAGCAGTGAGTTGATCTGTAATTATTCCTATTCCAGTTCACTCAGAATTTACAATATAAAAATTCAGGTCCATTCTGGATTTACATCATTGGCTAAGACCAAACAGGGCAGAACCAGCTCGAAACCTCAGAAGCAGTTAAGGAGGAATTTCAAGCCATCACCCCTATGTGTAGGCAATGACAGGGCCAGCAATGACAAGTAAGCTTTTCTGGCAAATCCATCAAAATGATATCTTAAAGTTTTGAAAAAACTAATACGTTTATTATATTCTCTTCTTACTTAGAGGCTTAACTATCTGTTGAGAGAGCCTATAATTATGATCAATTACTTATGATTTGAAGGCTTTTATAAAGGCATCTCCCCTTTTAAAAAACCTTTAAAGAACCAGGTATAAGACTACAAAATTCACCCTGTGGGGCAACAATAAATCACAGGTGTGGGGGTCTAATTTTGACAACTCTCTCTTGGAAGAAAGAGAATTGTTATCACCTGTGTTTAATTTCCTGACCTTGACAGGATCACAAATTCTAAAACTTAGAGTTCCTAGTTTGACTAAATAAGTCAACAGGGACCAATGGCTGCTTCTTGGCAGAGGTGAAAAAGAACAGGGAGGAAACAAAAAAAGATAATGAAGAACTAAAAACTCATAAGGGTGATAGCAATATTGAGATTATATCCTTGAGTGTCTCTGAATTTAAAATTGTCAGGTGAACTGAAGTCTTAGAGAAAACATGGCCCAAGGTAAGAGGACCACTAATCGACCTGAATGCAAATTAACACTCAGATGTTTTAAATGGTGTAAGCAGTCAGTCTCTGGATTATAAACTAGTTTTTGTTACTAAATCTGTATTTAAATGTAATTTGTTTGCAAATTAGAACACTTAAATATGGTTTTTATCTGTCAGTCAAATGTTTATCTTAGTATATAGCGTACATTTCTAAGCACAAAAATATTAAAGAAATACTTCCATGCACATTACATCTTTACATAATACAGTAATAGTATTTTGACAAATGCCTCAAAATAGCATGTATAACTACAATCTTCTGTTTGTATCATGAAATTTTAATATAATGGGCTTTATAAAAGCTGGTTTGTAACTATAGTTTATACTGAACATAAACTAGACATTTGTAACATGATGAGAACTGTTTGCATTTTTCATTTACAAAGTGGTTTTACATACACTATCTCACTTTATCTTCATAACAACTCTTTGGTCATCATCACTCTGTACAAAGCAAAAAACCATTTTAGAAAGGAACATGTTTGTGTTCTGTCCACAACCATTATCTTCCTGAAATGTCACAGTAATGAATCTAAGTCATGAGATACACAGATCTCACAAGAAGGCAAATCAGTCTCAAGAGAATAAATAAGAAGAATAATTAAAAAAAAAAAACCAACCACCAGCACAACCTTGTCTGGAACAAGAAGGGGAGAAAAGGAAAAAATAGGTAGAAACAATTAATCTAAAGGACTAATGGAACATGAGAAATTCAACCTGAAAGATCCTGAGAACAAAAGAACTAGATGGTGCCCAGCTACCACTTCTGACCACTCAAAAAGTAATGACAGTAGAAGGTCCAGAGCAGAGTAGGTGAAAAAGGTTCACAAAATTCAAAATTATAAAGATGACCAGACTTATTAATCTGATAAGAGCTTGGGAGAACCCCTGAGACTATGACTTGCAGTCATATCTTGGACCTGGAATAAATTCACCCATACGGCTCAACTTTCAATCAAACAACAGATAAGCTTCTAAAGTTAAACAATAACGCAAAGAAAGTACTCAGAACAATTAACCCTATATGATCAAAGGGGCGCATATGATTAGGGGTCAGGCTCAGAAGGCAGGAAGAAGTAGGAAAAGAAGATTAAATGGAAATTTAAAAAAAAAAGAAAGAAAGAAAAAAAATTCACCGGTAGAGTTACAAAAACAACTCAAACTTTTGTTATAGAAATAGAGTGCTTTGTAAAATATAATACTATGTCTCTCTTAAATGAATAACAATCTACAGGTAAAAGGCCAAATAAGAACTTTTCTTGTAAAATTCTAGTAGTGAAGTTTATCCATCAGGAAAGACTCAGGCCAGTTCTTTGGAAGATAACAAAGTTAAAAACAAAACCAAACCTGAAGTGAGTCAATTCTCACTTCCAATCACTCTTCAACGGGTTCTGAGGCTGTATGTATTTACAGCATGAGCCTATCCATCCTTATCTTTCTCCACTGAAGGGGCTGGTGGAGCCAAGTCAACAGTCCAACACAAAGCACCCTCTATCATCACCAGGGATCCTTTAAGTAAGTTAGAAGGAGACTATAGGTATCCTCTTTTTAAAATCAATCTCACAAAGGCCTCCAACAAGGGTTTTTGTTACTTTTCAGCAAACACAACCCCCCAAAAGTAATCTACTGTTGATACAGTCCCATCTTCTAAACCATTTCTCCCAATCGTATTATATCTGTATAGAAGAGTATGAAATATCCAATGGACTGCCAAAGAACAGACATGTGTGAAAGGAAGTGCAGGCACTTCCTTGGAAGCAAACATGACAAAGCTTTGTCTCATACACTTTGGCAAGGCTATTAAGAGAGGCTAGTTCTTGGAAAGGACATTAAGCTTGGAAAGGTGGAGGATTAGCAAAGTACAGAAAGATTCTAAACAAGATGCATTGACACAGTAACTGTAACAATGGTCTCAAGAATGTTAGAGATGATGAGAGCACAGGATATGACAGGATTCAGATCTGCTGGTCATAGGATCTCTGTGAGTCATACATGACCTTATGCCAACATAACAAATGGTATACAGGTGCTATATGGAAACAGCAAATGGTATAGAGGTACAAAGTAGAGACACAACAAATTTTAGTATCTTATTTTTGTATTTGTGACTTCTTGCTGCCTTCTTTGCTGAGCCTAATTGTCTTGGGAGCAAAGTTCCTCATAAATCATGCCAACTTGGATACAGGGAGACAAATTAAAACCTCCCAGAATGATTCTGTAGACACTTGGGCTCCTTGAGTCTGCAAAGGGGCTTAGTATATAAAAGGTCAGTGTCGAGTCTCTCTACTTTGATGACTAATGTTAAATTGTTTGACTTTTCTCAAAAATATTTGGCTGTGCTAATTTACATCATTTCATCCACAGTACACACAGTAGGCACATATCTCTGCAGTAGAATCGCCAGATATATGAGAAAACATTTTTGTATGAAAAAATTTTTCTTGAAATCTTTTTTCAAAGTAGCAGCTTAAATACAACTACTTCTCACTTATGAACCATCTCATTATCTGACATTTTACATTCAAAGTAATCGTGAAAGACCTATTAGCCAACTGATGTGGGCATTAATCACATTTATCTGGCAAAAACCAATGCCAAGATGCTAGGTAAGAATAACAGTGGCTATTATGGAGGGAAGCGCAGGAGGGGAAGACCTTCTATGAGGTGGATTGATTCAGTGACTGGGGTACTCGGGATGGGTTTGTCAGAGGCAATGAGATTGGCACAGGATAGAGCACGGTTTAGGGCTGTTGTACATAGGGTCGCTATGAGTCGCAAATGACTCGACGGCACATAACAACAACAACAATTATGGTTAAGATTATGTGTCACTGGCTGGGCCATGATTCTCAGTGTTTTAACAGATATACCATGATGTAGTTATCCTCCATTTTTCACTCAGCACTAATTTTTGCATAATGACCTGGTCTTTAGAACAAAATTACATCAGTGAGGAAAGGGTATAGTCCATAAATTTCTGTGTATTCCTTTTCTACATAAAACGGTGCAGTTTTGTATTAAAAAGTGACAAAAAGAGTGGTATACCACATATCATTCACACAAGGGGGAAGTTCCAGGATCATTAGCTACACATCATTATTCTAAATTGCAAACACTTTCCTTTAATACCAGTAAACACACAAGCAAGCTTTAAAAGACTTTCTCCCACCTAATTGTAAAACCAGTCCATGAAAGGCAAGAGCAGAAGGCAGAATTTAAAGATATGACATCTCAGATGCTCTCTTGACCCTTTGGAGAAGCCTAAAGATTCTCAGAGAGAAAATTTAATCATGACTTATAGGTAACATTTTGGGTATGGGAAAAAAAAATTGTACAAGACACGGTTTTAAACTGGACATGCATCACCTTTACCCAATCAGTCCTTCACCCAATCACTCTTAAGGTGAGTCGATAAAAAGAAACTGCAACACATGGGGTTGTCATTAATCTGAACTGACTCCTGGGCAACTGGTTTAGTTAGGCAGCGTAATTAGCCAAAATAGTCTTGAAAATGTCAGCATTCTTGTAACTTGCTTTATTGCAGACTAGTGACGTTATCTTCCCACACTAATTAATTATACTACTTACGACTACCTCTCAGTCTCTCAAAAAGTCCCCAATGATGAGGGTGAGGTCAGGCAAAGGACAGAAAGATAGTATGTTGATTGGTCTCAAATACATAACTTGTCCAAGAACACAGAAGCCTGTGCAGGTCACGTTTTCTGACTAGCCTCTTTGCTCGCTATCTGGCAAGGTCACTGGTGCTGGCTAAGGGCTCCGTTGGTGAAGCCTACTCTGTAAGGCCCACGAAACATGCTTAGCTTCTCCAGTGACTGCCTCTACTCTTTAGCCATATGGACCGGGGGCCCCCAACACTCCCGGAGCGCGTGTCCGCCCGGAGGAGACACCAATCTCTCTGGCTCACCTGACCACGTTAGGGTGCTCGAAGGTCTCCAGGTGCCTCAGCACCGCCACCTCGCGGATGGTGGAGAGTGGCATGCCTTCCTCGCTGGTCTGCACCCGCACGCGCTTCAGCGCCACGAAACGGCCTCCGTTCTTCAGGTCCCGGGCCTTGAACACCTTCCCATAAGCGCCCTCCCCGATCTCCGCCACGCACTCGTACTGCTGGTCCGCACGGCTCAGGCCGTCCTTCTCCATGCTGTCCTGACGCTGCCCGGCGCGGAACTGCTGGAGCGGGCAGAGAGCGCTCGACTCGCTAGCGGCTGCCGCTCGCCTCCTCCCAAGCTCCGGCCCGCTTCCTTGCGCCCGGCGATCGGTCTCCGTCACCCTCTCCTCGCCCCCGGCTCCCGGCTCTCGCGGCTGCTGTGGCTAGACGGAGCGACCTCCCCTCGGGCGGGCGCAGCCCTAGTGCCGCTGCGAAACTCCGCCTGCCGAGTCGTCGGCGGAGGAGCGAGCCGATCCCTCCTCTTCCCTCCCTGAAACGGAGTCTTCTGCTCAGACACCCAGGCGATTACATAGTCTCAGCCAAGGCACTGCACAGTCCAAATTCACTTCACCTAAAAGAGAAGACGTTAGGACAAGAAGAAAGTGCAATCAGACATCTCAGTCGTCTTGCTCCGGGTTCTTCCAGTCTCCCCGCCTCCTCCTTTACTGAAGTCCCCGTCGCTACCCGCTGTGCTCTCCTGCCCTCTCCCAGGCCGCTTAATCCTTTGGTTCCTCCACGAAAAGCTACATTACTTCACTCTCCCTGCAAAGCTGGAGAGGTCGGTCTTCGCTGAGAGAGGCTGGAGGGGCCCCACAGGGATGATCGTGCTCGCGGGGCGCAGGGGAACGGGAGGGGGCGTGCCGAACAGCCCAGAGTGTGCCGGGAGCGCGGGGGAGGGGAGACGCCGGGCACGCCAATGTCACGGCTTAATATTTATCCCTGTATCATTTTGTTGCATTGCTACCCTCCCCAACTCCCAGGGTCTGGATGTTCTGCGAAGTGGGGCTCTGGGGGCGTTCGGGGGTCGTGCACAAACCGATGCAGCAGCACTGGGGATCCATCCGCGTGGGGCCGCAGAATGTGGGTGGGGGCTCCCTGGACCCTGTAACCCGACGCTGGGAGTGTGCGAAAAGGGGTGGTCAAACATCTGCTTGGAAATTGTTTCCTTTCTTTCTACTTTCAGTTTTTCTATGAGGAGACATTTAAAAACGACTCTCAAGCACAAATACTCTTTTGGGGTAAAAGAGCCTTGACTGGAAAATGAAATTCTTATTTCGTAGCCGAGGACCTCCCTGGTGGCGACTCAGAGGGAGGACAGTCCATCTGGTCTGGGAGGACTCACAGGGTGAGCGAAAGAGGGGCCTCAGAGAGGGCAGTCACCTACAGGACCCCAAGGATGGGTGATACTTTCCTTGAGTAAATAAGAAAAAGGCAGTATTCCTGTGTCTTGCCCTTAAATTTTCATTTTCTTTCAATCTCAGCAAAACTCAACCTCCCCCCAAACAGAAGTGTTTGCGTCACGGGGGGGCGGGGGTGGTAAGAGGAAAGGGGTTACTCTAAACTTCTGGAGGCTCACAGACTTTTCCCCACTACAGGGATGGTCCCCGCCTATAGGCAATGGAAGCAGTGCACTATTCCCCTTTCGGGATGAGGCCAGATCCTGTCTACAGCCAGACATCCATCCACTCCTTGGAGCCCTTGGCAGAAAAAAGTGCTAGGCGCAGGGTGTGGAGGACCCCAATTTCCCCTCCCCATTCAAATGTCCGGGATGACCGGGGGGACCTTCCTCCCCACCACCGCCAAGCCGGCTTCGTTGTCTGGAATTCTCAGGGCACCCCGGAATTACCTTCCCGCAACCGCTGACCCGATCTCCTTCAGCCAAGAAATGAAAAAAACAAAAACAAAAAAAAAAAACAACTGCAAGCTTTAGGACCCCACAATGTGCTGAAAGATGGCACCGCGATCAGGGCAGAGTCCCACACTCTCAGCCTATCCAGAGCTTTCAAAAGTGGAAGGCGAATCCTGGGGGAGCCGGGAAACAAGCTCCCAGAGGCGAGCCTAGGGTCTGCACGAGGGCGAGGGCCACACAGGTAGTGGGGGAGCTGACGCTGCCGTCAGCCCAGCCCGCCCTCCAGCGTCCCTCCTTCCCCCAATCCAACCCGAGGCTCCGCTGCAAAGGAAGCGTCGAGGGACGTCCCACCCCCGCAGGGAACTGCGCCCCGCTTCCCCCGCCGGGCCCCGCACTGCCTGCAGCCCCAGCCTGGGCTTCTCCCCCCTCGTTCTGCGGACGGTTGGCTCCGGCGGAGAGAAACAGGAGCAGCAGAGCCTTCCCCTCCCACCCCCCCTTTCTCCTCCACTTTTTTTTTTGCTGTTGTTGCTTTCCCACGCTGGCTGAATGTGACTTGACCCCATTTCAAAAAAGTTTGACATAGTGCTTCAACATTTCCGCATTCCTCCGCGACTACAAAGGCTGCAGCCGCCTCCTTCTGCTTTCTGTCTCTGCTCTCTGTCTTCACACTCAATGAAATCCTTCATGTGCTTCTCCCGAAGCCTGCCAAGCACTGCAAGGGTCGCCACCAGCGCAGCGACAAGAGGCCGCGTCGGGGACCTCGACTGCGGCGTGTGCGCACACGCGGATGCACCCACGTGCACACAGACGGGCGCGCTGCGGGACCTGGGAGCCGCTTACCGCGGGACATGCGTTTAAACCGCGACATTTTAAATGATAAAAGTAAACTTGGATGCAAAAGCAAACGGGCGACCTCGTGGGGCTCCGAATTGGGGGCAACAGCCGGCGGTGTGCCTTCGTCCGAGTGTGCACAACACGTCGGCCAGGGTTACCAGCAGGAAGCCTGCGTTAACTCAGAGCTCGTGGCGGGGGAAGGTGGAGTCCACACCCACACCTCGTGCAGAGAAAAAATAGGGAAGGGAAGCACCTTCTCCCTCATGGAGTCTCCTGGGCAATGCACTTTAAACCTGAAATACGGTTCAGTGTCCGAGTGCAGTTCCGTTTGGAGGAGCTGGATAAGGAGTGTGTGAGTGTGTGTGTCTGTAAATGTCGGTGTTGGTGCGGACTGATAAGTCAGGACAAGATCTCGGTGTTGGGGTGTTGCTCTGGTGGAATGTACCCTCCCCATACCAGATGAGGAAGGGCTCTTTTAGGAGTTCAACTGACCCTCCCTCAATCTACCCCGCCTAGGTTCAGAAAGGGTTAATCAAAGTAAAATCAGCAGACACACAGCCCCCCATTCTTACCCCCACCCCCACGCCGCCTTCGACCCTGGCCGAGCCTCGCAATCTCCTTCGGGACCCCCCAGCCCGCAGCCCACCCACTGGAATGCAAGGCTTCTCACCTGAGGAGCACAGCCGCGTGCAGTTTCCCAAGGGGGCTTCGTGTGTCGGTCGGACCTCCACACGTACCCACCGCCGCCGGAGCAGGTAACGCGTCTCCGAGGAAGGAGTTACCAGCACTTTCTCCGGCAAGGGGGTGGGCACAGCGGCGGAGGGCGGAGGGACGACGGAGGGCGCCGCCTGCTTTGCTCGCCGGGGGCGGACAGGGGGCCCGCGGGGCTCCGGCCGGGGATCGCGGCCCGAACTTGGGAGGCTGCGGGGGCGGCTGCGCGGCGGGGGCGGGGACGGGGACAGGGACCCCGGAGGCCACCCTGGCCGGAGACCCACCCGGCGCCGGGGTCGGGGGCTCGCGGCGCAATGGCAAGCAAGTGTGCAAATTAAAGCCTTCCGGAGCAGCGGAGGCGGCCGAGACCCAGCAGTGCTCGGAGCCTCCTGCTCCTCAGCCTTCAGCTCAGAGCAGGGGGCGAGAGGGGGAGTTTAAATGAAAATTTCCGGCTCTCCCTGAAACTGCTGTGGGGGATCTCGCGACTCAGACAAGAGGCGTGAGAAGGAAAGAATCGGATGTGTCGTCGGGAGTCGCCAGTGATTCCATACCCGGGGCCGCCCCGAGTTTAGGGTTTTGACAAGATGAGGCGGGGGTGTCATCAGTCTTCGAGGTGCACGATTGGGGAAAACACAAAACAGCGGTAATTGTGAGGGGACGGTTGGGGTGGTAAATACCAACACTTTCCAAGAAACCGAAAAAATAAGACCAAAAAATAATTCTATTTAAAAAAATAATTGGCAGGACGCCTTGCAGAAAAGAAAATACTAATCTGTCCAAGCACTTTTCACTTTCAGCATGAGCTACATTTGTTTTGTTTTCCTCCGCTTCCTTTCGTCCTCACAAAGCCCTATCTTTTTCTTTTGGACAGAGGATATGGTTTGGAAATTGTCAGGCACTCCTGTGGTTAACGATCTACTTGAAAGGGCTGGCTGGTTCACAATTATTAAGTGGTTAGCAACTGCTGAGGGTTCACAAAGGTATTTCTGGGGAGCTAAAAAAGACCAAAATTTTGTGCAAATGACAGAATTGCAAGATAATAGGTACACACACCCATACACACACTCTGAGAAGAGAACATGATTCTGTGGGTTCTCAGTTTTAAATGCACTATTGGAATTCTGAAATTTGAAACCTTGTAAAAAAACGAAGAAAGTGTATTTTACCTGCTGAGAAAACCTGAATACAGTTACTTCAGGTGAAAATGATATTGAGAAGCAGAGGTGGGTTGCAAGACTTTCTACAATGGAATAAAAAAAAAGGAAGTTAACAGCTGTCTTTTTGGAAAGAAGTTCTCCAAGATTATCGTAGATAAATAATTGACACTTTAAAAAATCATCTTAAAGCAAAGCTTTTTTCTAAAAAAAAAAAGTTATTTTAGTGCTTTGTGGAGGAAAAAAATTCTAAATCCTGCAAAATTGTTTGAATTGGAAATATTCTCTTGACTTTTAACAGTGCTGTTAAATGCACATTTTTGCTGTAATGAGATTGATTCTGTACTACTATATGAAGTAACAGTTTAGGAAAATAAAAATTGATGTATTTCCATTAGCAAACATACTGCAGTATAGTTTTTTAAAAATAGTTAAAGCCAGTGAATGTGTTTTTTAAGTTTAAGATAATTCATGAAATACATTTTTTGTTTAGGAACATACTTCCTAAAATTCAGTTTCTGAACAAAAATTGCATGTATAAATATATCTGTAATCTCATTTTTAAAAATATATAATATATGAAATAGATTTAGGAATGTGAATTATTATGAATTGTACTTATATAAATTAGATCACTGTTACTTATTAACTAAAATTTAAACCAAAAATACAAAGCGAATCCTTTTTTATATTTTCTCACACTTTTCAGTGCATTTAAAACAGTATTTTCTTGCTGATAA